AAAGAAAGAAAGAAAAACATCTGGTACAGCCTGCATTTAATACAGTGCACCAAAGAAAGGAGCAAGCTCCCCTCCAACCAAACGCTGTGGAAACAGAGGGACTGGTGCATCCACAGAGGTAGGGGTGCCACATGATCTGTGCTCTGAGACGGCAACCCCCCTGTAAGGAGTGTGGTGTGAAGGCTACATGTTGGTAGCCGCCACCAGCAGCCCTGACTTGTGGTGCCAAGTGCTGCACCGTCCCCATGAGACCGGCTGCAGACCGGAAAGTGGTGATCCCTGGGACTTTCACGGGTTGGTTGTCAGAAGTGGATCACCAGTCCTTTCTTCCTCACTTCAGCCAGCTGAGGCTCTGCTGGAACCTGCTTGGCACCACGGCAGCACACAAGCCTCCAGGACAGGCAGGTGGTGGCTATGCAGGTTAGTGAAGCGTTAACTGCCCTAAGGGATGCTCAGCAAACACTTGTTCTCCAAATGAGTTCTGAGAAGCGCCCATTTGTACTTCCAGGGTAGTTCTGATGTGGGGCAGTGGTTCCTGAGTGTCCCAGGGAGGAGCCTGCAGGCACTGCGAGGTCCTGTGTGGGCAGCAAGGATCAGAGAAAGGGAGCCAGGTTTGGGTCCCCACCAAGAATATCTGGTTTGCGTCTCTGCAGCATTGTACTTGCATGTGAACTTTCCTTTAAAGAAGAGGCCACTAGTCTAAAAGGGCAGCTTTGCCTGTGATACTAGGAGACACTGGCACAGGCTGGAAGCCGGTTTCATCCCTTCCCGTGTGGCCTGGGAAAGTCACACCTCTAAGTGCTGGCTCCACATGCAAGACTCCTACCCTTTCCCGAGATGGCTCAGGGCTTAGAAATGTCCCTTCCAATGGCACAGCTAGGAAGTTAGGGGATCTGGGGGCCTGAACCCACTAAGTCTGACTTCAGAACCGCTACCCGACAGCTCCCCATGTGCCCCAAACAGATGGTGCCCCAAGCTGGTCTGTGTGACTCTATTTCCCCTGGCAGCGCTCAGCACCCAGAAGGGCCAGCCAGCACCTGACCTCCTCCTCGGACCTGCACACAACCAACGCACAGAGATGAACAGCATGACCTGCCCGCTGCGGAAGGCCTGGCCCAGCCATCCTGCCCCACACCCTCAAGTCCAGGCCATCTGTGGGGCATGAGGGAGGGCGGGGCCTCTGCAGTGTCCGCAGAAGAGCCAGGTTGCTCCCTCCCTCAACGGGGGCAGGAAGAAAGGACATGCGAATGGAGAGATGGCACGTCACGGGGCAGCCCGGAGTCCTCACTCCCCAGGATGTGGCTCAGAGGAGAGTGGCCAGGGCACAGGCCAATGGAGGGCCAGCCAGGGCTGTGTCGATGTCCCCAGCGCAGAGGAGCTCTGGTGTGAGTGGGCTGGGGCGGGGGGGCAAAGCTGACAGATGCTTTCACAGAGCGGGGGCTCCAACAGGAACTGGGACGCACAGGAGCACAAAGCCAAGTGACCTGGATCCATGACCCGTCACACCTGGCATATACCCCCTACTCTTCTGCCCGTCTGGAGGCCATTTCTGGGCACAGTACTCCTTCCTTCCAGAAGGATTAGTGCCCTGAGTATCCCCTCTAAGTACAAAGGGAGTTCAAAGTCTGGAATTTTCACCAGAGCTCAGCTGCCCACAGGGCAGGGGACACGGAGGAGTAGGTGGAGTTGTGCTGTCCTTCTGTGCGGTGGGGGGGATGGCCCTGGATACCTACGAGTGTGCAGCTGAGGCTAGGGGTAAGGAGACAGAGGGAGCCACCACCCACAGCCTCAGGTTCCAGGTGAACAGCATTTATTTTCCGTGCATCCAACACATGTCGGAGCCTGTCTACTCTTAGCTGGGCCCTGCGTGGGTCTGGGGGCTGAAGTGTGTGAATCCTTGAGGCTGGCTGAGGCACAGAGCTGGCGGGAGCTGGCGCTCACTGAGTGTTTGCTGAACGAACACACACAGGCGGTGGTGAGCCCGGGCAGGAGGGCGGGTGGAGGCAGGAGACCGCCGTGTCCGAGAAGCCAGGGAGCTTCCCACCCAGGCCTGCTTGCCACCACCCAGAGTTGGGAAGCACCGTGTTTGCCTCCCGCCTGGGCTGCTGTGGTGCTGACTGTGCCCATGAAGAGAGTGTTTCCCAGGCCCTGTCCGAGAGGGAACTTACCTGTGGGACGGGGGAGGGCGCTGCTGGCCACGTGGGCAGGGGCCTATCGCCCCAGTGCACCAGAACAGCCGACGCACTGTCTGTGTCCAGCAGAGCGGGGAGGGGTGGGGAGGGGAGGGCTGTGCAGAGCAAGGTCGTCTTGGCCTGGACATCTGTGAAGGGCTCCGCCCAGCTTGCAGCACTGGCCCCTTGGGCCCCGAGATGGGAGCTCTGTTACCCAGTCCCTCCACGGAGCCCAGGGAAGAGTGCAGGTCAGCAGGGCCGCTTGCTGTCCAGAATGGCCTTCCAGTCGTCCGTCCATGAGTGCAGCCTGCGGCCGGGGGGCGACAACTGCAGGTGCTGATTGTGGCAGGATGTGAAGAGGATGTGTTCCCAGCTGGGCTCCGCCTCAGCCCCTGTGGGCGGGGAAGCAGCACTGAGACCAGTGGCTTCGTACCTGGGGAGAAGGCGCCAGAGCCTGGCGCGGCCGCCTCTTCGGCAAAGTGCCTCTGCTCTCTAGACTCAGCTTCCCTACCATAAAGTGGTGAGTGCCCCAGCCTCTATCCCACACGGGAGAGTAAGAACGAATAAGCCAGGTTGCGACTGTTGCCCAGGGACCTGAGTGGAGCTGGGTACCACACGCTGCTCCCCTCCCACGTTACGTATGACAGACCAGCCAGCCGCCTCCCTCCCCTATCTTGAGGTCCCACAGTACACAGAGAGGCCCAGCCAAGAAGGGACCGCTGAGGGGCCAGCACAGCACCCCACAACAGCATGAGCTCCAACTGCAGTCCCTCACCTCCCGCTGTTGCTCAGTGGTGCCCCTGGCCCTCGGGGAGCAGCCCGGCCCCCAGCTCCTCTCCTGCAGGCTGCTCCCCAGCTCTCTGTGGGCGACCAGGCCTTCACAACCCTGCAGGTCACGGCCCCTCTGCACCTGCCACCCTGGCTCTCGGTGGGAAGCCGCATGGTGAGGCCAGAGCTGGACCCGGGAAGAGGCCCACCGTGGAGCCCACCACGTGCACACAGTGACTGGGCCTGAGACAGGCATGTGTCTCCCTCAGGCTGGGCAGGACAAACAGCCTAGCCTGTATCTTGGACGTGGGGTTGTAAGCCCAAGATGGCTGGTGGCTTGCAGGAGGAACGCTTGTCTGAGAAGGACGTCAGAGGAGAGAGCAGAGGCAAGGGTGAAGACACTGGACTGACATTAGCTGAACTCCAGAACTCAGCCGGGCTCGACGCCCCCGACCCCTGCCCTTTCAGTTATGTGCACCGTAAAGTCCTCTCCCTTCTAAGTCAGTCTGAGCTTGCAGGCTTGCTGGCTTGGCGGGAAGGAGGGCATCGGTAAGTTAAGAGGACTGACACAGATCCACCCACCTTCAACCAGAGGAACTATCCTTGACCAAGTTCAGACCACCTGACTTTGAAAAAAAAACAACGAAGGTGGGCTCGTGCTGTGAAAAACGGAAGTGGAGAGTCTGAATCCACTTTCTCGTTTTACGTGAGAAAAAACAAAGTTCCAGACGATAAAGTGACCCCCAAGCAAGTGACTGCAGACTAGAGCCAGGCTAGAACCCTCTTGACACCCCCTCCACCCCCAGGCTAGTGCCCCTCTTCCTATGTGGAAGAGCCTTGTCTGAATAACAGGAACGAATATAATTGGCATGGAAATTGGGGGGGGGACGGACAACTGGAGGGCAAAGGCAGCCAAGTGGGGACCACTTGGAAGGAGAATGTGGGGAGCAGCCTTTATGCAGTGCGGCTAAGCCTGCTCTGTCCCCTACCCCTACCCCTACCCTTAGCCCCACCCCCATTCAAGGCTCACCCGCTTCAGGCTACGTACCTGTTATGTCTGGCCGGTCATCTATGAGCAGGTCGCCAGAGATGACCGTCTTGTCTCTCGTCAGCACGATGTGCTCCAGAAAGTCGGCGCCAAAGTGCTTCTCCACCCAGGCATACTGGACAGGGACAGGCAGGGGAGGGGAGGAGAAACAGCCGTCAGAGTGGGAGCAGAGTGGGGCCCACAAGGCCCTGCAAGATGAACGTGACCCTGAAATCGGAGAGCTAAGAGGGGGCAGGAGGGCCAGACAATGGAGAGTCCATTTGGGGGGAGCCAGGCTCTGGGGAAGAGGTCACTGCTCTGTTCGGGCAGAAAACCAGTGCTCAGAAATAAGGAGATCGGTCCATGTTGCCTAACTAGAAAGCATCTAGCTGTGACTCAATCCGTGACCCGTCCCTCTCCGACATCTCAAATCTCCACAGCGCTGTCCAAAGCCACCAAGTGAGCCACCTAGTCCAGTCCCGTTTTCAAAAGGGCAGTATTTGCCACACTGCTGCGCTCAACTGGCTCACTCCTTCGTTGTTTCAGTAAATCAGTGTTTAGGGGTATGCACTAGGTGCTCTTTGAAGCAACACGACCAGTCCCCGACTCGTTAAAGAGCCAGAGAGCCCAGGATAGGCTTAAATAGCTCATGAGTAGCACATTTGTGGAAGTGCTACAAGCAGCAGTACCCAGGACCTGGGAGAATGTGTGGCCAGAGTACAAGACTCAGCCAAGAGTGAGTCAAGGCAGGCTTCCTGGAGGAAGTGGCATTTAAAGCAAACCTAACAGGTGAGGAAGAGGAGCCCTTAAGCAAACGCTCTAAAGGAGAAAGGATTTGGGGGCGTTAGCTGGGGGAGGCTAGCATGGCTGTGCCGTGGTGCTCCGGGCAGCAGGGGAGTGGTGGGGTAAAAGTCAGCAGTAGCAAGGCCTCCTAGGCAATCAGAGGACCAGCCCTGCTCTCTGACTGGCATCTCTGCCACTCCCCCAACAGCACCCTCCTGAAGACTCGATTTTCTCGTGTGAAAAAAGAATCCACCGCTCATCTGTTTAGTGTGTCATGCCGTGGTGGCTTGTGGGCTACAATGCTGCTGGAAGCTAGGACACTAGTAGCTTCAATCCCAGCAGGGCCTTCGATGGTGGACAGGTTTTAGCACAGCTTCTGGACACAGACAGACCAGGAAGAAAGGTCTGGTGATCTGTCCCTGGAAATTAACCGGTGAAAACCCCGTGCATCAGAGCACAACATTATCCCGCTCACTTGCTGTGGGCACACTGCACCCAGGGAGCTTCACTGCCCACTGTGAACCCGGTCCCCAGAGTATGGATGCTGACCTAAGCCTCCCCTTCTCGTTCTCTGACCTCACTGCCACTCATCCACACGGCTGGTACTCCCTCTCTGATCTCAGATGGGGTCCAGGAGCCAGGACCAACAGCCAGCCTGCTTTGAGCACCTCACGCGCGTCATCAGGATGATCAATCGCTACCGGAGGACGTCACGGTGGGTGAAGCAGAGGGCTGGAAAAGGGGAAGGCGACGACGGCGACAACAACGGGCTTGGACGTGTCCCGGACCACGAGGATGGCACAGGACCAAGCAATGTTCTACTCTGGTGTGCAAAGGGTCTCTGTAAGTGAGAGTCATCTGTCTGTCTGCCCGTGCGTCCACCCATCCTTTTATCTAACAGGGATGAGACCACGACGGCTCTTTTCTGGTTTAATCAATTCCTGCAACAACCCTAAGAAGTCAGTGCCCCAGTAGTCGCGTGTGCAAGAAGCAGAAACTTGCGCCACCCAGTAAGACAGAGCCCAGAGAGGAACCCGCTGCGGTGTCCTGCCCTGGACACTAGCAAACTCGAGAGCCTGCAGGGGTCGCCAAGACGTCACATGCTGCTTCAACAGCTCCGGACTCACTATTTCCCCAGACTGCAACACTTTATATGACAGTTCCTTTACACGCAGACACACATGGACATACGGATGCAAAAATGAGAAGCTGATGCCAGGGCTTAAGTGGAGAGCGCAAATGTTTCGAGAATGAGGAGGGCAATAAATGTGCAAATGTGCTTTACACAATTGATGTATACATGGATTGTGATAAGAGTTATATGAGCCCCTAATAAAATGATTTTTTAAAAAGATGAACACATATGTATGCATGTGTACACACACACACACACACACACACACACACACACACACCCCTTTGCTCCAGACTAGCTAACTCCTATGCCTTCTAAAGATATCATTTCCTCAGCCTTCTCGGACTCAGGACACTGTCCTTCCTACCAATTCCAGTTATAGCTGTATATTTGGAGAATTACTTGTTTCAAAACTATCTGTCCCATTAAACCAGTGGTTCTTAACCTTCCTAATGCCACGACCCTTTTAATACAGTTACTCATGTTGTTGTGACCCCCAACCATGAACTTATTTTCATTGCTATTCATAACTGTAATTTTGCTACTGTGATGAATCAGGGGACCCCTGTGAAAAGGCTGTTCGATCCCCAAAGGGGTTGCGACCCACAGGTTGAAAACCACTGCATTCGACTGTAAGTTTCTTAAGTTCATGAATGCTTGATGAAATAAGCAGGTCTGTGTAGGCCAGCCTTGCCCAAGGGAAGGGGTGCTCTGACTAAAGGCTTCCCGGCCAAGATGCACAGGGCGGTCCTATCCATCAGCTGCTGTCCATTAGGGGCCACCTTGGCCTCTCTCTGGCCTGGGTCTGTATTCCCCAAACAGCATTCTAACACACAGGTAAATTTCCTGAGTGATCTCACCTCAGTAGACAAAAGGTCTGAAGCAAATGACCAACACTACTGAGTCAGCATGGACCGGAAGTGAAACTGAGTTTTTTAAGTTTGAGTAGTCCAAAGCCTCATCTTAAACAGACTTCTCTCGAATGCACAAAATGGTCTACGGAGTGCGAACTCACGCTGCTATGGCTAGTGAGCGAGCTAGCTCCCGGACGGTCCATCTGGCAAGGCTAAGACCTGCAAGCAGGTACAACCCCACTGATTGAGCAGAGGCACTGAAGAAGAATCACTGCTTCCATGCCTCTGAATGACCACGTGGATGAAGAACACTAAACATCCCATGGACTACAAAGAGAATCACAAATCCGTGTTGGCAGCTGTACCACCAGAATGCGCCTTAGAAGCGAGACCTCACCTCCTGCACTATGGAGAGGTCCTCAGGAGGGTTCAGAGTCTGGAGAAACACATGCTTGGTGAAGCAGATGGTCAGCAAAGACGAGGAAGACCCTCAACAGAGTGGACTGGCACAGTGGCTACAAGAAGGGCTCAAACCCAGGCCTGACGGTGATCAGCGCAGAAACCCACGTGGCGTCTCATCCTGCTGCACACACGTCACCATGGGTCAGGACCAAATCAACAGCATCTAAAGCTAATTCTGAGCATCACTCGTGTTTTCAGAGATCAGAAAGAAGCATTTGGCCCCCAGAAGCATTTATTCCAGAGGACAGCACTGAAGCTGCAGCTCTGGGAGACGGACATGTCTGATCAGAGTGCACGGGAGCAAATGAAGGGGGAGGAAGAGAAAGTGGAGCACATCCTGGCCCACCAGGCCTGGAGGACGATATTCCCACTCAGAGCAGCCAGTCCACAGAGAGGACCACATGGC